CCCCAAAACCCCAAAACCCCAAAACCCCAAAACCCCTTTAGGGTAATACTAACAAAAATGTGAAATTAAGAGAATTAAGAAATTAAAAAATAGACCATACTTCGAAATTCTAATAATTTAACTTTTAAATTAAGTTTTATTTCATATGTCTTATGGATGCCTAATCTCATCTTCCAATACAGCATCTCATCAATAGTGCACAGATAAGGAACGAAAGTACTAAAACTACGAGTCCTAACTCGATGCAAATGCTTGAGAAAAACACAGCACTTTGTTCATCGAAGGTGAATGAAGATATATTGATGAAATTGTAAACAAGAATGCTTAAAAACAAGATCATACCAGGTAAAATTACGAATGTACAAAGTCTCTCAATTAATTTTATCACATTAAATCCCTAAACAGGCTTTTATTTTTCTACTCCCAATTTAGTATCTATATCTATAAGCTTCTTCTTCTCATTTTCTCTCTCCGCAGCTTCTTTGATTTTTTTACCATTTTCTAACACATTTTTCTTTTCTGTTTATAGCTACACAATTTTATTTTCCTTTTATTAAATTCTCAAATCTATTACTAATTATGCGCATTTATATACTCCAATCATTATTTCTAAGGCTGCAATCACTAGAGCATAAGCTCTTTCTATTCCTATTTCTTAATCAAAGCTCGCTATTTTTGAATATCTAGATTAATTCTTCCACAAATTTATTTCTCCTTTATCCCTACTATCTATGAAAAAAGACAGCTGAAGTGGATGAAGGAATATTTGAATCATAACAATAACTCCGGCACCTCTGAATAGCAAACGAAATATTAATTCTTCTATTAATCTTCTTAGTGGTTTGTCTGCTAATTTTATGATAACTGAAGTTATTTAGCAAACGTTTTCAACTAGTCCAATAGCAGTTATAATTGAAAAAATCAAGTAATCTATCTATAAACTTTCAATGTATTAATTCGCGTCTCTGCCAGCAACTTAGATCCTTTCTTGCTTTGAAATATTAGGAATAGTCTTGCTCTGAGCAAGTTCATAACTCACAAAAATATTCTTTTTCTCTCCCCAAGATTAATCGACTCTCTGAATGTACATAAGCACACCGAAAATAATAAAAGGAATTTAGAGCGACATGATTACAACACTCCCAATAATTGCAGTAACACGGTATTTCAAAGAGCAATTCTCTATTTTGTAGAAGAAATCAATAAATTAATCGAGACATTCTATCAATAGGAACACTGACAAGAAGAGATAGTAAAACTTTTGCTCTTCATACTAAGGAATATAGTTGCTATCATATAAGCTGATCTATCTGATACTGTAGACTACTCCAGCGATAGCTATTCCCATTTTGGATAAACAATTGATAGCTCTATAGCAGATCTCACTCTTGTATTGTCTTATCTTTTCTTCAGCTCTATATTCTTGCATTTTTAATAGTGTTTTTTTTATAATTGTTGTTTTTTTAGTTATTTATTTAACAATCGATACTTCGAACTTTTACTATTATTAAATATGACTTAATATAAGTGAATTTAATCATATTCTTAACTTTTAGCAATAAATGAAACATGGGGTTTTGGGGTTTTGGGGTTTTGGGGAGATCGGAAGAGCACACG